TTGCAAATTGAGGCACAGAACAAGCAAGGCAGCCGCTCACTGGTCCAATGATCAAAGAGCAAGAGACAAGAAAGGCGAGGCTTGCTGAGCCATTTATCTCTTCGCCCTTTAATTAACCCCACATGTGTTTATTGGCCAGGTTGGTGAAATTAACTAACTACCTCACCCTCTCTTTCTACTGTAAACATTTTTATTGAATTTTAAGAATAAGAATACAAAACAGGCTTTGACCTTGGGGAAGACTTGCTTATTGGATTGGTCTCCTTCTTTCTTTGAAAACAAAGCAAATCAGAAAAACACTTGCTGAAGCTTACGTGTTCGACAATGTCCCACAGGTGTGTGGGCATTTCCACCCATGGTCATCAGTCACCCACAGGCCACACTACCTTCAGTTATGCCCTCAGATTTCCCACAGGGAACTCACTGGGGAGAGTGCACTGCCGCTTGTGTGGAAAGTGAGTGGGCTTAATTTCCTGTTTCCTCAACCCCAGCCTGGCCCTGAGGTCCAGCCTGGGTCTTTCTGGGAAACCTGCAGGTTGAGAGATGGGAAGTGGGGGGGGGTCTGATTCTTGCTGCCTTAGGCAGGGATTCGGCTTTCAAGGAAATCACCAGTATCCCCCTTAAAAAGAAAAAAAGACGAGATTCGCACTAAGAAGGAAAACAGATAATCAAGTCATTGCTTCAAGAGGCGCCGTACAAAATAGCGCAAGTAACAGGGTGAGAAGACAGCCGGGCAGAAATCGGAGTTCGTTCATGCTGAGGCACCAGGGAAGGCGTCCTAAAGGAAGGGGCACTGGGGGACATTTGAACTGCACCTTCCTCTTAGCATATAGGTTTGGGGTCTGCAGGGATGAGATTACGGTGGAAGGCGAGAGATTCTGCATGGAGAGACAACGTGAGTCAGGGTCCAGAGGAAGGTATAGTGAATATCCTCACCCTTCGGAGTCTTGGTGACTCGCACCATGTGTGTCCCCCTCTGTTCTCTGGGTCCCCCTCTGTTCTCTGGGTGCCGTCCAGGAAGGGTTATGACCTTCGAGAGTGGTTTAGCTGTGACTGGCGGTGCGCTCACTGTTCAGACGGGGGCTGCTGTGACTGTTTCTGACTTGTACGGGCCGAGGACTGTGGGAAGGCCTTTGGACATTGAAATCCTCTCTGCTCCTTCCAGTTTGACCTCTGCGCCCACTTTTTTCAAGAACATCCAGTTCCGTCTTCCCCGTTCGGTTCAATGATCACAGTGAAATCTGCAAAGCAAGTCGTCAAGCCCAACAACAAGCATTTCCGGACCACGGTTGGGAACAAGGTGCGGAGACGGGGACCGAGGGTGATGGACGGGGCTGAGCATGCAGGCCGGGTCCTGGGGAGCCAGGGACTCACGGGGCCCACCCTCTAGGCCATGACACGGGCACTGGGCCGCTTTAGATCGAAAATGCATGGGGCGAAGCCAAGCGGCAGTGTCCCCTCACCCTCACGGGGTGCTCACCTGAGTGCCCTGCACCTTGGCGCAAGGATTCGGTTGCTAAGCTCCCTGCTATGGTTGGACACAGAGGTTCCCAAACTTATTTGGCCTACAGTCCCCTCTTCAGGAAAGAAAAATGACCCGGCAGTCCCCAACAGGGAAAAACATTGGTTCGATAGCCCATAACCCAGGCTAAAATGTGGGTATCTGCTTTTGCAGCTCCCCACTTCCACCCCCCGCCCCCATTTGATTGGCACCCCCAGGAGGATGTTTTGGAAACACTGGTCGAAATGTTAGATGGTCTCCCTCCATACCTAATAAACCGAGCTGTGGGTTGAAATCCTTCCTGGTGGACTCTTGTGCGTGGAGGTCTTGACAAGTGTGGACATTTGATTACTGCCTTCGTGACCTGGAGCTGCTGGAGCACAAATACCACAAGGGGGTGGTTTGAAAGAACAGAAATCCATTTTCTCACTATTCTAGAGGCTAAGTATCCAACTATGCTTCTCAACCCGGCCAGTTCCTTCGTTGTCAATCAGTCCAGGCATTTCTTGGTTTTCCCGTTGCTCCTTGGCTTGTAGATGAGTTTCACGTGGCAGCTGTTTTTCCAGATGGGGGTGTCTCTGGGCCTGTTCTAACCTTTTCATGGCTCATAAGTGATTGGGCTTAGGACCCACTCTGCACTGGGATGGCCTACTTAGCATAGCATGGGAAACCCCTGATTTCCAAATGGTTATATTTCCAGGCTCAGGGTGTAGGACTTCATGCTTATTTTGAGGAAGACAATTCAATCCACAGCAGTTAACTTGATCAGAGCATTGAATTATCCTGAAACATTGGTTCTCTGGTTTTGTTTCCTAGTTCTGCAGCTCGCTGTACTTACTCATGGAGACCCTCAATGCGACCACGCCCCACTACGTCCGGTGCATCAAGCCAAACGATGAGAAATTACCTTTTGAGTAAGTGCTCTCAGGCAGGCACGCATGAAAACACAGAGGAAACCGGTTCTGTTAAGCTGTGGTAGAGTTTGCTCATCATTGGCAGGAACTTTGCTTCTGGTTTTGTTGTCGTTGCTGTTTCTCATGATTCAAAACACTCCCCCGTGCATACCCAGAAACGCAACCTTCTGGCTAAGAGACCTCGCCTCCAGGGTCAAGCCAAGGGTCGAGACTGGGGAAAAAATGTCTGCCGCTGCAAGGTACACAACAGGGAAAGCAGAACTGCGCTGGAGAGCAGGAAGAATCTGTGTGTGTCTTTGTGCAAGGGAGGCTGTCCAGGGAGCACAGATATGTCCTCAAACATGAAGAATGGGACTTGGCCTCCGGGCCCACAAAGACGACCCAACACCCATGAGAGGAAGTTGTAGAGGGGCTTACTCCACTCACTCACTCACTCACTCATGCACGCACACACTCACCCACCCACTCAC